ATCCCTATTGATCAGCACACATTTCATTCAACATCATCTTCAGCTTCTTCCTTCTGAATCAACAAACTGCTGCAACTATGACTTGCCAGAGACTACTACCCCTCGTGTTGTTTTCTGTAAAGTAAAGGATTTTGCAGTGATGGAGACTTTAGGTGATAGAGGGTATATACAAGAATTTTAGCTGTGTGAGTACAGGAAATCCATAACTTAGAAATGTAATACAGAAAAAATGTGCAAGATTTGGACATAATCTGAGGATTTAGAGTGAAATCAGAGTGAATGATGACTCTAATGTCATGGGTTTGAGTAATAACAGGGATCCTGGTTTTCTCTGTTTAAAAATCACAAATTCTGTGCTAAAAATTGCCAATTCTCTGATAAGAACCCCCAAATCTGCCATTAAAATTAAACACTACTATATATCTATATCTATATCTATATATAGATATAGATACCTATATAGATATATATAGGTATCAGTTAAACACAATGTTTTATTTACAGTTTCAAAGCAACTTGCAGGCCTACCATTGCCTCAATCACTGTAATAAAAAGTTCTAATTACCTATACATTTTGGTATTTGATTTGGGGGTTTTTATCATGGAAAATCAGAGCTCCCTCTGCCCCCTTCACTCACCAGGACACAAGTCCAGGCCCCTCACTCCCCACCCAAGCCTCCCCAGCCATGCTGGTGCCCGTCACTCCCCACCCACAGCCCCCTGGCCCTGCTGGTGACCTTTGCCCCTCACCCACAGCCCTCTGCCTTCCACCCACAGCCCCCTACTCCCCTCAGACCTGCTGTTGGAGCCCCTACCTGCCAGGACTATAAGGCCAGAGACTGAGATCTGCAGTCCCCTGCCCCCCACAGCAGCACTCGAGCCCTGGCTGCCACCTGTGGCAGGTGGCAGCTGCTTTCGCCTGGGCAGGGAGCAGTGCATGAATCCCAGCTCCTCCTTTCCTGGGGTGCCACAACCAGAGCAGAACCCATGGGGGAGAGGGTTCTGCTGTGGGCTTGGGTTCCCCACCCTGGTGCCCTGCCCCTGGCGTCTCTGTTGCCCAGTGGACGGGACCTATCATGGCAGCGCAGAGCAGAGCAGGGTCAGAGGGGTGAAGCTCCTTGCTGATGCAAGCCATGTACCACCCTGATGAAGTGCCCCCTGCGTGTCTGGAAGCAGCATGCATGGTGGCATGGAGATTGGCCATCACTTCTTCCGGGCAGCCAGGGGGCTCCTTGCAAGGGTGGTGTGGGGTTTGCAGCAGCAAGGAACTTCCCCAACCAGCTCCACTCTGCCCTGCCATGCTGGACCCTACCCGCTGGGCCATGGATGCCCCAGGGAGTGGACATCAGGGTAGGGAATCCAACCCAGCATCTGGCAGCCTGCACCCACCCCCGTCTTGTGCACCCATCTGAGGGGCACGTGCCCCCCCCCGGAGAGCACACGGTGGCAGGGAGCCAGCTCCACCCCTACCCCCCGGATGAGCTGCCTGTGGCCCTGTCTCACTTGCCACCAAGACCCTGTGGGGCACATTCTGGGCCCGGGCCCCAAGCCCCATGCACTGCCTAGCTGGGCACCAATCCCAGCCCCAGCCCTGCCCTGCCCAACTCAGGGGTGACTGGTGCCCCCTGAGTCTGTGGGGGTATGCCAAAAGCCCCATATCCACTCCTATACTCAATGCCGGATTATGACAGGGTGGGGGCCCTAAACTAGGAGTTCCCAACCTTTCTATGCCACAGCCCAGCAAATTATGGACCAAAAACGGCCAGCCTGGCAAACTGCGGAGCACCGGTCGGAATGCAGGTAAAGCTACCTACCGGGTGGGGGTGTGGGCCCAAACCTCAACCGTGGCTGCCTCAGGCCGTGCAGGAAGAGCTGTGGCCTCTCTTCCCAACTCTGCGGGGCTGCAATTTGCTGTCCTGAGCAGTGCCAGGTCGGGAGCCAGTCTCAGGGAAGGCATGTGCCCCCCTCATGCCCCTTCTACCAGTCACCTGTGGCCAACCTCCCTCCCTCCCTCCCTATGGGGTTGTTGAGCTCCCCGCTCTCCACGCCAGACTTACCTGTGGAAGCTCCTCCCCAGGCTGTCTGGTGGCCATGTACATATATGCATGATGCCCCCTGCTTGACTGTTCTGTTCCCACTCCCCCAGCCCCTTGCAGGCTGGAACTCTTCCTGCCTGCAGAGAGCTCTTTGCAAAAGTGCAAAATCTGTGTATTTCTACATTAAAATGAGAAATGTAGAAACACATAGATGTTTTTCTCAGTTAAAAG